AGAAAATTTCTGGTGTTCAAAGTAGGGGAATTAAGTTATCAATTCACAGTGATGCCATTCGGTCTGACAATTGCTCCAAAAGTCTTTGCAAAACTGGCAAATATTCCCAGAAAGATCCTTACAAAGGAGGGCATAAGAACCTTTGCTTATCTAGACGATTGGCTGATAATGGGAAACTCTTTCGAAGATTGTCAAAGGGCGACCCAACGTACACTAGTACTATTTCAAAACCTTGGTGTAAAGATAAACCAGGTCAAATCAAATTTAATACCATATCAAAAGTTGGATTGGTTAGGTCTCCACTCGGATACAAATCGGCAGTCAGTCAATTTACCAGGAACAAAAGTAACATATTTGATAAACAAAGTAGAAGCCTTTTGTGTAAAGCACAAGGTTTCTTGGCACGATTGGGAAAACTTCTGGGCCTGTTGAATTTTGCCACAATAGTGGTTCCATTGGGAAAGTTAAGGAAAAAGCAACTATCTCATCTGGGCTCGAAGTTGCTTCGCAGAAACAGAAACGTTGCTTCTTCTCTCCCTATTCAGATAAAGAATCATCTGTTATGGTGGACAAACTGGGACAATCTAATCGGTCCCTCTCCCTGGGTTCCACCTCAAACAGGTTTGGTCGTTCGTATGGATGCGTCCAAAATAGGATGGGGATACTATTCTTCAAAAGGGGAATTCAATCAAGGGAAGTGGAGCAACTTCCTTTGGGACAAACACATAAATGTAAAAGAATTAGCAGTGGTCCTATTCTTTTTGTCGGCAAACCCAAATTTACAAAATATGACGATCCTGTTTGCCACGGACAACAAAACGGCAGTGTTTTGTCTCAATCATCAAGGGTCAACAAGGTCTTGGCCCCTTCTACAACTATCAAAAAAAAAAAATTTCAGTATTTGTGCAACATAAACACTTTACCTCAAAGCAACTTATATACCGGGAGTGCAAAACAATTGGGCAGATGAGCTGTCCCCTCTCCGGCCAGTATCGACAGAAACAGAATGGTCCCTAAAGGTATCGGAGTTCAAGAGTCTAGTGAAGAAGTTTGGAACTCCACAGATAGATCTGTTTGCCTCCCTAACAAATCACAAGATGCCAATTTATGCATCTCTGGAAAGGTTAAATCTTTTAGGAAATGCCCTCCTCTTAGATTGGAACCTTTGGAATTCAATCTATCTATTCCCACCTGTGAAAATATTGCCCAAAGTGGTTCACAAACTCAGATCCTTCTGAGGCAAAGTCCTCTTAATTGCACCATATTGGATCCTACAACCTTGGTGCCTGGATCTACTGGACTGGTGCCCGAATCCTCTACAATAGCAACAAGGATGTCTAGACCAGGTACTACATTCTCAGTTCGAGATATCCTTGGCACTTCACGCTTGGAGTTTCTCAAAAAAAGTTTAAATAGGTTGTTGGATAATTCCAATATAGCTAACCAAGTATTAGCAGGTCATAGACCCCAAACTTCTATTCAATATGAGAAAGCTTGGAATCTTTTTCAACAATTTATCAAGTTAACAACTCCAGATTATTTATCGGAAACAGTTGTGTTAGAATTGTTAGAATTTCTGTTCAGAGTTAAAGGCCTTCAAGGATCGACAATTGCATCTTATAAATCAGCGTTGGTTGACCCTCTGGCTTGGGGTTTTAATATTACTTTCAACCCAAGGATTTATCAAATGCTAAGATTGTCCTTTTTCATTCAGAGACTTCCTCGACCCAAGAGAATCCCGCCTTGGTCTCTGGAAAAAGTTACTAATCTTCTTATGGGGCCTAATTACAATATAAATCTGAACAGGGATAAATCACTCCAGAAGGCAGCTTTCCTTCTAGCAATAGCAACGGGTATGAGAATCAGTGAACTGATTTCAATTTCCAATAATCCATCATTATTGGTATTTTCTGACGAGGATGTTATCCTTTTTCCTACGAAGTTCCTAAGAAAAAATGAAAGGGAAGATTTCCAAGCTCAACCTATTGGGACAAAACTTCTAATGGATGAAACGAGGATTCCTCACATATCGTGTCCAGTTAAAAATCTTCAGGAATGGTTAACCAGATTCCCTAATAGAGGCCCTTATGTTTTCTCATCAAGCGATGGTAAGAAATTATCTCCTAGTCAATTGACAAAATCCTTATCTCAATTAGTGAATCAAGTAGACCCTGGCAAGAAATTTTTGGCACATGACACTAGGAAATATGCAGGGTCTGTGGCCTTTCTGTGGCATATGAGTCTCAGTCAGATCAAGGAAATGGGCTTTTGGGGATCTTCAAAAACTTTCAAAGACAGCCATCTTCATCTATCTCTGAGAGATGCTTCTAATGTGGTGGTGCTGGGTTCCCTCCCCCATTTAGTCAATCTCCACTACCAGGACCTTCTTCCTCATCAGAATAGTGAGTAAATTAACATTTTACCTCCCGGTAAATGTTCCTAATTTTGGAAAAGTTCAAAACGGTTTATAATATAATCGGGACCTCAGTCAGCGGAGCCTTGTATGCAAAGTCACCTCCCTTTCCACTTCCTGCTCGGGTATTCTTGCTGACGTCGCATTCAGAGCTTGAACAAAAACCCGTTTTTTTCTAAAAACCAGTTTTTGTGATATAGCTCGAATGCGACGTCCATAACTCACCCATCTCCACCCCTCGAGAGTTGACTTTTAATTACTGCTCTCTCTGAGGCAAGAGATGAGGTTCATGATGCGCATAGTGGGGGGTGAAGGAGGGGGTTTGAGAATTGCAATTAAGTGCCAGGTAGCGACATGTCCTCCTGATATTACTTATTAAGTAATTATTAGATGTTTTAATTGCCTGTAGGTTGCATTGCTGACGTCGCATTCAAGCTATATCACAAAAACTGGTTTTTAGAAAAAACGGCCTTTTTATAATCAAATTTTCCCGTTTCTGTGATCTAAATTACCCATTTTCTGTGATCAAAATTTCCCATGTTCTATGATCAAAATTTCCTGTGTTCTTTGATGAAAACTTCCCATTTTCTTTTATCTAATTTACAGTTTTCTGTTATCAAATTTTCTTATTTTCTGATCAAAATTTCCCAATTTCTATTGCCAAAATTTCCCATTTTCTTTGATCAAGTGTTCCTGGTTCTTATCAAAATATCCCATTTTGTATGGTCAAAATTTTTATTTTCTATGGTCAAAACTCCCCATTTTCTTTTATCAAAATATCCCGTTTTCCATGGTAAAAATTTCAGTTTTATATGGTTAAAAAAAAAATATATATATATATATATATATATATATATATATATATATATATATATATCTTGTTCTTATGGTCAAAATTTCCCATTTTTAAGGTCAAATTTTCCCATTTTCTTTTATCAAAATTTCTTGCTATCTATGGTCAAAACTTCCTGTTTTCTATGGTCAAAATTTCCTGTTTTCTATGGTCAAAATTTACTATATTGTATGGTCAAAATTTTACATTTTCTATGTTAAAAATTTTACATTATCTATGACAGTCCAGGGGAGTTCTAGTTGGATCTATTGACAAGGTTACAAGTGATCCTCTCTCAATGCCGGTCAGGATACAACTGCCCTGGCTAGCCGGCAACTGGCACCACCACACCTTAGCTGATGCTAAGGGTCCGAACTACCATGAGGGCAATTGACAAACAAATAACAAAAATGATCCTCCATACATTTCAGAACGTAATTACACAATACAATATGAACGTGACAGACATAATACTCCCACGCCCTGCAACTCAACTCCGTCATTAGTACTGGTCACCGCCAGTCTGCTCATCTTCCCAACTGACTCGTACCGTCTCCGACCTGGATCCACCTTTGCCCCTAATGAGAGCCCTAGGCGTGCCCTTTGAGGCGCTAATGCCCTTGTGAGCAAGGTAGGAAGATAACAGGTAGCCTCACGCAGGCCCATAGGAATTCACTAATTGGCAACTCTACTCCCGAGATCGCTAAGCCACGCCCCTTTTGCCACTTCATGCATTTGTAATATTGAGGTATTATTATCTGGTTCTACTGTTTGATGTAACTAAGTGGGCGGAGCTTAATAAGTGATGTCATCGCTAGCCAATCAGCGACGGATGAAATCCAGGGTCGCAAGTAAGATATTTATATTTATTTTATATATTTAATCAGTGGCTCCAATTAAATCAAAACAAAAAAAATCTCCATTCCATACATTTATTGTACAACTTTTAATACCATCATAAGCCTTCAAAAATACGTGTATAAAAATTTCATTTTTATTTTCATTAGCGTAGATCCTATGGGATTGAGGCTACCTGTTATCTACCTACCTTGCCTGTGAGGGCCTCTGGGGGCAGCACCGCCCCTGGGAGGTCCCCTGGGGGCGCTGATGCTCCTGGAATGGCCCCTGGAGGCGCCGTCGCTCCTGGGCGGGCCCCTGGGGGCACCACTGCCCATGGGAGGTCCCTTGGGGGGCGCTACCACCCCTGGGAGAGCCCCTTGGAGCACTACTACCACAAGGAGTGCCCTTCGGGCACCATCGCCTCTGGGAGAGCCCATGCTAGGGGCGGTGAGGCCCCCAGGGGTCCTCCCAGGGACAGTGGTGCCCTGCAAGGGGCGGCGGTGCCCCCAAGGGTCCTACTGCCTCACCCAGGTGTCCTGCCAGGGGCGCCACCACCTATGGGCCCTGCCAGGGGCGGTGGCGTCCTAAGGGGCCCTTCCAGCGATAGTGGCGTCCCCATGGAGCCTGGCCAGGGGCGATGGTGCCTCCAGGGACCCTGCCATGGACAGTGGCACCCATGGGCCCTCCCAGGGACAGTAGCACCCCCAGGGGCCCTGCCAGGGACGGTGGCTCCCCCAGGGCCCAGCTCAGGGGTAATGGCGCCCTCAGGGGCTCTTAGGGACAGCGATGCCTCCAGAGACCCTCCCAGAGGCGGTGGTGCCTCTAGGGGTTCTTCCAGGGGCAGTGGCACGCCCAAGGGCCCTCCCAGGGGACCTCACAGGGACGGTGGCGCCCCCAGGGCCCAGCTCAGGGGTAATGGCGCCCTCAGGGGCTCTTAGGGACAGCGATGCCTCCAGGGACCCTCCCAGAGGCTGTGGTGCCTCTAGGGGTTCTTCCAGGGGCAGTGGCACGCCCAAGGGCCCTCCCAGGGGACCTCACAGGGACGGTGGCGCCCCCAGCGGAGTTCACCAGGCGGTGGTGCCCTCAGGGGTCCTCCCAGGTGTGGCAACGCTCCTAGGGGCTCTCCCAAGGACAGCGGCGCCCCTAAGGGCCCTCCCAGGGGCAGCGACGCCCCCAGGGGACTTCCCAGGGGCATTGGCTCCTCCAGGGGCCTGCCTAGGGCCAACGGCACCCCCAGGGATCCTCCCAGGGTCGTTGGTGCCCCCTAGAGGACAGTCCAGGGGCAATGACACCCCCAGGGGTGGTGGCAACCCAGGGTCCTTCCCAGCGGCAACGAAGCCCCCAGGGGACTTCCCCGTAACCCGCCCAGGGGCGACGGCACTCCCAAGGTGGCCCTCCCAGGGACGGTAGCACCCCCAGAGTTCCTCTCTGGGGCGGTGGTGCCTCCAGGGGCCTGCCCAGGGGATCTACTTAAGTTCAGCTGTGCCCCCAGGAGCCTTCCCAGGGATGGTGGCCCTCCCCAGTGACCCTCCCAGGGGCAGCAGTGCCCCCAGTGGACCTCCCAGGAGTGGTGGCTCCCCCAAGGGCCCGCCTAGGGGAAACAGCGCCCCCAGGTGCTCTCCATAGGGACAGCATCGCTTCCAGGGTCCATTCCAGGGGTGGTGGTGCCCCCAGGGGCCCTCCCAGGGGCAGCAGTGCCCCCAGGAGGCCTCCTAGGTAAAAAAAATTGCAAAACCGAAAAATTTTGGAAAATTTACAATACTACACATTGCAAAAAAATGAAAAAAGGATCACAAAAATGAAAAAAAAATTGCAAAGCTATGTATAAAAAATGTTACAAAAAAGTATCCAAAATGAATTTTTTAGGCAAATATATATTTTTTAAATATAATGCAAAAATATTGAAAAAAGTTGCAAAAATTTAATTTTGGGGGCAAAATATGATAAATATATTGCATATGGTAATTTTTAAAAATTGCAATTTTTTTAGAAATTTCAGAAATTTTCAATGACGACACCAGAAGACATTCACATGATTTGACAATGAAATCAGCGGTCCCTGTAGGGCATCATGATGATGCCATTGGTCCTCACATGACATCCCACTGACATCAGAATGCACTTTCATGACATCAATGTGACATCAGACCCCATTATGTAGGTGTGGTTAAGTCAGCCTGGGTTGGGTTAAGGTTAGGATAGTTTCTTTAGCATACATAAAACTAATTGTTCCTGACCTTTAGTAAATTTTCCACCTTTTCAACTTTCAACAGAAAAGGGCGATACACTAACAAATGTCTTGATTTTTATGCCACCTTGAATATAATACTTGTTCACCTAAGGGTTTCTAAGTTAGATACTAACTGCAGTGCTGGATAGCTACCACAAAGATATAAAATCCCAGGAATAATAGTGAATTCTCATAAAAACCACAACAATTTTAATAGTTTTTCAAACAAGAAGACAAACCATGCAATTAAATATCTACAAAAATATCCACATGAAGAATCCTAGTACGGTATAAAATCTATTCACCACCTGCAAACACCACGAGAAAAACCAATACTGTACCATCAACACACCAGACGAACAAGTATAAACTAAATCCGATACACTGTAGAATCCCAGTTATCCAGCACCTTCAGGGATTGTGAGGTGCCATATACACAGTTTTTTCAGATGCAGTAATACCCCGCTTTACGCGGTTTCGCTTTACGTGATTCTACATTTACGTGGTACCTCGCCAGAACCGGACTTTCACTTTACGCGGTGCGTCTACTCATATACGCGGGAAGCGGCGCGGGCAGGATGCGCACAAGGTCGCCCAGTCATCAAAACATTACCGAGTTCTTCACCCACCACAGCCGGCCCAAGATAGTGATAGTGAGGATATGGACTTTGAGGGGTTTGACAAAGAGGCCCTGCATGCCTATGTGGTGGATAGTGATACAATTGATACAAGTGATACAGGTGAGGACCAATAATCTGCCCTCTGCCTCGGAACCAACCTCCCATCCCCGTGTGCCCAGCCATCTTTTCTCCTAATGTAAGTGTTAAAAAACCTAATATTATTGATATTTCTCTTAATTATTAATTGTGTGCATACCATCATAAAATTAAGATGTTATTTTTACTACAACATAGGTATTGTGTCTGAAAAGGTGGAGTTTGGGGTTCGGGCCAGTCTCTATTGGAATTAATTCCATATGTTCTGTTGTTCACTTTACGCGGTACCCCGTGGGTTCAATTGACCGCGTAAATCGGGGTACTACTGTAGTTGCATATCATTCTTAGAATCCCCCAATAAATCCTACAATGCACAGTGTTACAGGCTGGCCAGGCAAATTCATCTAAAAAAAAAAACTGACTTCTTTAACACTTATTTCACTCTATACAAATGATGTGGCCTAGAAATAAAGAAAATATAATATAAAACTAGAGAATAAGAAAAATGAAGAGCTTGGGTGTGTACTGTGTGTGGGATATGAACTACACTGACTCGTAAGCCCAGCCGCCATGTTTATTGTTACATGTAATCAGAGTTAGAAAGTAGTGAAATAAATTTACTTGAGTACCGTACTCAAGTAACATTTTTGGATATCTACTTTTTAAAAAGTAATAAATTTTTTTAGTACTTTTACTTAAGTATGGTTTTCTAATACTTTTACTCCAATACAACTGCAAATAACAAAAATCATTACTCGTTACATGACCCAAACAAACTAACAGATAGTTTTAATGTCTGTGGCAAACTAATAATATATTTTCAATTAATTAATTAATTAATTATTAACTATAGTAAGAGAGTTGTGTGGGTGGAGGGAAAGGTGTGGGGAGACACCATGCGGTCACATACCTAGAGGTCTCGTGAGGTCAGGTTCAGGTCAGGTGGCTGTGGCCATAACAGCGGACTTTCACCTTTGAACTTCTTGTGTCCATTAGCACCTTGACCACCCACCTCACCTAGCCTTCCCTCTTATTCCTCCCTCGCCCATCGAATCCCTCTCTTCTCCATCAATTAGAATCGAAGAGTGAAGTCACCACAGCCATACCCCAATTAGAGGGACAGTTCACGGTGGGTTTTAGTCAGACTTAGTCACCATGGAGGCAACAATCCACAAACTCCTCAACTGAAGGAGCTTTATAGGTACTTGGAGTGCCCAAGGAAGCAATGGAGCTACTGAGGTGTTTCCCGATATTATGTGACTTATCTGCTGCTTGTGAGCATCTGTTTAGTCATGCTGGACTTATTTATTATTTAATTAATTTATTACACCTCCGGGGGCAACAAGCCCAGATGCCTTAGCTACTTCACTCCTCAGCAGTTGCTTTAAGTTCATGAGGGATTCATTCTTCCTAACTTGGAGTACTGCTAACTTGGTGCCATTTAGTTGAATCTACTGATTGCCCGGATGCCGGATAACTGGGATTCTACTGTATCTTCATCCTCAAATTTCACCAAAACCTTGCATTAATTATTTTTCAAATTGTCTAGTCAAAAGCTGAAATGACACAGAGAAACTTTGTGTCATTTCATATATATTAGCCAGTTATCTTTATTTAAAATCTTTCATTAACAGAATCTTCAGGGTTTTTAATTCTGGCAGCATGTAATCAAAAAAAAATTAATATAAATATGCCAGCACCTGTTCTTTGTATTACTGTTGTACCTGAGACATACAGTATATGTTCATAGTGAAATAGATGCCACATTATCAACTTAGATAGTCCTGTCTCTGTCACAAAAGCGTCATGCAATTGAAAGTTTACTTTAGGGGAGAGAAATATAGTTTTCTGTACAGTATGCTGATTGTAATTCATATATTTTCTTTGGGTCAGCTTACACTCCATGACAGGTCACTCTGAAGGCTGAGGTGCAGTATCTCCTACTTTAGGTGGGCTGGCTAAGACTTGATCAATCAGCCCAATGTCTTTGGCCTCACTTGCTTCCATGAATTTGTCACGCTCCATCATCGGGGCTGTAATGAACATCAAGGTTTTAGAAATACTTATTACTGTATTTGAGTTTATCATATAATAGGCACTGCTAGTAATAACTAATTTGAATAAAATAAGTATATTTTGCTCTAATGCACAACACAATAATGTTGTTTTCTTTATTTTGTTAATTAAGAAATAAAACAAATTTCAACTGAGCTGGTATTTGTGATTGGAAGCAAAACTTGAGTCGTCTACTGGCAGACCATGAGTAACATGGATTATTTAGAACCCAGGAAACCGGAAAATCCTCAAAATAAGTTCAAACTTGGTGCCAAGGGTCCCGGATTTGAGGGTCTATACCTGGAGTGAGTTTTTAACTCTTCTATACATACAAACTTACCTATTTTTTCTAAAGCAAGGCCAGTATGTTTAACATATAAATTATTAAGCCTGTGCTTCAATCGCAAAATCTCTTCTACTTGTATCTGGATGTCTGTGGCTTGACCCTGTGGGAGAATGAGATCTATGTCAAGACCGTGTTTTATTACCACTGAAGGTTGGGTACAAGAGTTTATCTCATCTTACTTGATTTATATCTAATTTATTCTCTATGCAATGATTCTAACCTAACAGCCTAACCTAATTCCACCATCCCAAGGTTACACCTTGTCCTTGGAACTAAACTGAGGAATTTTTTAGTAATTGAAGACTAAGTTGAAAATAAATACACCATGTCAAAACACTAAATGAATAACAATGTATTGATTTAAGAAGCGAAATAATGAATGATTTCATGATAATATAATCTACCTTTGACATAGGAACTCCTAAGTCTAGTTTGTCTCTAAGTTTTCCTTCTCAAAAGCCCAGAGTGACTTAAACTCTTAGAGTTAACTGGAACAGTTTAAATGCTTTTGTTAAATGAACTCTTATAACATTGTTTAGTCATAAATTGGATATTCTAACCCCATGGTCCAGGTATCCAGCCAGTCAATGCAGTGTTACCCCAAGAGATAGGCTAATTTATTTATACTGTGAGTCCACGAGTTAACCTTTGCTCAGAGTACATGGGTAGGGTTACTACCACAAACAAATGCAAACTCAACAATGCAATTTGGATCAACACAATTGAATTAACTCTTGCAACTCAAATGAATATTTTATAGGCTTACTATAAAAATAACAGGAAATATTGTGGGCAAAAGCCTTTATTATTCCAGGATGTAATCACATTTTAGCTCATTTATGAAGTGAAGTCTGACATTGTAGATCCAGTGGGGACAACAATGAATGCTGAAAGGTGTGTGTGTGTGTGTGTTTCTACAAACACACACACATATATACAATACAGGTAAAAAAAATAACTGTCCTAAAGCCAAACACATGAAGGGAATATACTGTACAATTCTTTGCACTCGAGTATAAATTTACACCCCCCCCTCCTCCCCCCAGGCTTGCAAATGATATTCGCGGCCATTTTGTGACCCAAACCCCCATGAATTTTAAGGGCATGCTGTACTATCACCACTACAGCTATAGATATGAAATAAACCTGGACTAACCTGAGCTCCACCATGGGGCTGATGGATCATGATACGTGCATGTGGTAGTGAGTGCCTCATCCCTGGACTCCCAGCAGCTAGCAGTAGAGATGCCATCGAACATGCTTGACCCACACACCATGTAGCAATAGGAGGTTGGACATACTGCATAGTGTCATAGATTCCTAGACCAGCTGTGACAACTCCACCAGGGCTTAAAGGAAAAGGTTCAAACACAGTGATATCCCCATTAGCTGGAATAATTTGTGCAGAGCTCCTCCAGGAATGAGAGATTTCTGGGCATTGAGACGAATTTCTCATCCCTGGAATGTACAGCTAGCGAAAAAGTAAAAATTTTATTCACAGTATCTGTTCTAATTGTCTTAGAGAGAAGTCGTTTCAATAAGAGATCCTTAAACAGAATACTTTGACATAATATAATGATGGAGACTCAATTCTGTTATGAAAAATTGTAAGAAATTTTTATACCAGTCTATAAATTCAGTTCTAATTAGTTAGAAACACAATTTTGTTCCCAAAATAATTCCTGAATAATTTATATAAAAGTTTGGTTAAATGTATATACAGTAATACCCCGCTTAGCGCGTTTTACCGTATACGCGGTGCCTCGCCAGAGCCGAACTTTCACTTAACGCGGGTTTTTTCCACGTATACTCGGTGAGTGTCCGGCTCGAGACGCTATTTTTAGATTCACCCCGCCTGCCTGCCTGCTCTCGCCTCTCCTCCCTCCCTCCCGCCTCCCTCCGCCTGGGCAAGCCACGCTGTAAGGTTGCGCAGTGTGTGTCTTCTACTAACGTAAGTGTTACACCTAACTTTTAATTTTCCTAACCTAACCTTTATTTTTCCTAACCTAACCTCTTCTATATTACTTGTTTGTTCATACCATCATAAAGTTAAGATAAAATTTTTACTACAACATAGTTATGTGTCGTCAAAAAGTGGAGTTTGGGGGTCGGGCTGGTCTCTATTGGAATTAATCCCATATGTTCTGTTGTTCACTTAGCGCGGTTTTCACTTAACACGGTACCCTGTGGGTTTTATTGACCCCGTTAAGCGGGGTACTACTGTATATAAAAAAAAAACTATGTGACATGGGCCGTCAAATGAAGATACTTTTGGGGTGCGAAGCCGGGAACAATTATACACCGTAACCTTGCAAATTCGTGTTTCAGACATCCATTTATCTGCAAATCCATGCATTTTTCTGACCCTTACCCAATTACCATGTCTATCGATTGTCCGTGTTCATTTCAGAAAAAAATAAAAATAAATTAAATTTGTAACTGCCAAAAACATTATGGTACAGCAGGATCTCGGGTTTCGGCAGTTTTAGTTTCGCGATTCATTTTTTTGCGGTACAGGGAGTCCTCACTTAACGTCAGGGTTACATTCCTAAAAATGCGACGTTATATGAAACAACTTTAGAAGGATCAATTTTCCCCATAAGAAATAGATAAATACAGGAGTTACGTTCCCCAGCCTCCCTTTGTCCCATGAAATACATTACATATACAAAAAAACATTGCCATTTCTATGGAAAATAGTGAATACATATACTGTACAACTACTACGTTTGTATTGGTACTCACCGATGGGCAGAGGTGGGAGAGCGAGTGTGTGGTGGGTAGTGAAGCAGAGGAGGAGTGTGGCAGGAGGGGAGGAGTGTGGCGGGAGGGGAGGAGTGTGGCGGGAGGGGAGGAGTGTGGCGGGGAGGAGGGGGGGGCGGGGAGGGGAGGGAGGGAGGTGTGGAGGAGGGAGGGAGTGTGGTGTGGCGGGAGGGAGGAGTGTGGGCGGGAGGAGGAGGGAGGTGGGGGAGGGGAGGAGTGTGGCGGGAGAGGAGGAGGGTGGTGAGTCACTAAGACTCTGCGCCGAGCCGAGAAAGCATAGCGGGGACAGACGAGAGGGTGATACGCCATAGAAGGTAGTCCGTGACGAAGCAAAATGACATAGTATAGGATCACCAGGGACGTTAAACAAATTTTTGGTCTCTAAAGTTTAGCGACGTAGTACCGAAACAACATTAAGTGGGACGACGTTAAGCGCGGACTACCCGTACTATTAAAATTTCCAGCCTCTCATGATAGCCATTTTCATTACCTGTTCCAAGAATCAAGGGAGAGTGGGCATTGTCGTGGTCCTTTTATTATCCACCATCTTTATTTGTTTACAGCAGCTAGTTTGAATGAGCGAGATTCTTGTGTATTAACTACGAGTAGAGGTGAGTGATGTAAATGTTGGGAGCGGTTCTGGTGGTAATGACGGCCTTAGAGAAGGTGAGGGTGACAGTTGCCGTGGTCACCAAGGAAAGCCCCATGCCAAGCGTGACTACAAGAGATGCTTGAAATGATCAAAAGTGGTGCTCATATCTGTGACATCAAGCATAGGTTCAACTGCTCCGAATCCATCATATGTTCCGTTAAGAAGAACAAGGAAGCCTTAACTACTTCTGTGAATGTATTCTCAAGATTTTTCCAGTAACAGAATGTTCTCTGATACTTCACAATAAAACCTACTGTTTGTTATCACAGAACTTTACCTTCACAAGTGGGTGGAAAAAAGAAACCGTAAGCAGGGCAACCTGTCTGGGCGACAGATAAGGCATCAAGCACATGTTTATTACACTTCAGTTGCACAGAAGAAGCGCATCAACTCTCCACTACCAAAAAAAGCTGCTTTTAAGAAGCATTATGAAGTCAAGTTTGCCCACTACCATGGGGAGAGTGCATCGGCCAATGTCGTAACAGCACAAGATTATCCACCCATCTTTCAAGCACTTGTGAAAGAGGGTGGTTATTGCCAAGACCAGATCTTCAATTGTGATGAAACTGGCATTTTGTGGAAGTGCTCACCTAAGAGCACTTTCTTTGCCAAGGATGAAAAACAAGGAAGGGGTCTAAAGACTTCAAAGAAGATTTCATGAGGAGACCCCTGGTTGTTCACCGTGCTACCTATCCTAGAGCCTACCATCATGCCAATATGTCACAGCTCAATATTTATTGGAAAAGGATGAAGACCAAAAAGAAGAACAGCAAGCAACACAAGAGGAAGATAAACCTGGTGAACCTACAACACATCAGCTGATTGAGGTGCTCACAACCATCACACGTCTCGGTGAACAGCTACAAGAATATGATACCAGGCCTCATGCCCAGAACCATATCTGCCCTGTCATTGATAAGGTTATGGTGGAATATAAGGCCATGCACATGCCCTGTGTCAATGCTCGTCAGCCTGCTCTTATTACACGGTAGCTGCTCAAGGCCCAGACTGTTAATGCCTTGGCAAATATCAATATAGGAGATGATGATGGCATCACCGATGATGATATTGAAGTGTTGGGTGACTTACTGGTGGAAGAGCTCCCTCAAGACCTTGAGGGATTTGATGTTGAGGTTAGAGGAGGGAGCAGTAACCAGCCCTCCCTGCCTCGGAACCCATCAACCAGCCCCAACTGACTCCATCAAGGTAAGTTATTCTACAGTATGAGAGTATGAGTGTGTATAAATATTGTTATCAACAATATGTACAATATAAATATGTATGAATACATTAATGTCATTTTCTGGATGGGTTGTAGGTCGTTATAGGGAGGTTCGGGCGACTGACTGTGGAACAGATTAGATTTATTGACATGCACAATACTGTACAGCGTATTTCAGTGTCACTCGTTTCACGATTCTGAGTTTCACGAAGCTAAACCAGTACCAATTAGCTGTGAAACTTGAGATCCTACTGTAATGGGTGTGAAGGTGTGGGAAGTGAACGTGTGTGGAGGAGGTTGGTTATAACTAGTTAGCCAAGTCGCCAGCCCAGCCACCGCATTTATTGTTACATGTAATGAAATTACACTATAAAAGATGCTGAAAAATCATTACAGTACAAAGGCTTAGATATAAAAGAAAACATACTGTAATATAAAACTAAAGAATAAGAAAACTGAAGAGATGGGCGTGTACACAGTAAACTCTCGAAAATTTGAACCCCGTAAATCCGGATTTCGGAAAATTCGGACAAAAAATTTGGGGGTTCTGGGCTAAGAAGCCTCCCCAAAACAGGATGAAGGTATAGTTTTAGACTTAAAGTTTTCATCTTATAAGATGTCACAGACTAAACTTAGCAGAATATAACTTGCATTGCTGGAATTCATGCGAGACGGCGAATAATTTGAGTAGACATCACACAGTTTGCACGAGATAAAATTTTTAGTCCTTTAGTGTAGTACATTTGAGTACAAAGTGAGCACAGTACAGTAATATTTTGCTCAAAATTATGGCTTTTTCACAGGAAAAGATCTGTATAACTAACCCCAGGATAATATGTACTGTACTGTATTTTGGTGTTTTTTATATAATTATTTATTGTTTTTATACATTTAGTACATTTGCCAGAAGATTTGAACAATCAGCTTTTTAGTCCAGGTCTTTGAGGGTTCATTGTATGTGGAATGTGTGAGTGAAGGCGGTCGGTTACTGGGCTATAACTGTGTGGCCGCGCTCCCTCCCAATGTGACATCAAGGCATACTCACAACCCATGTGGCAGCCACATGTCTGTGAGTTAGCTGGCCGACTGCCAGAACTGTGTGTCTCGTTGCCCAAAGGATGGTTTGAGTGTGGAAGGAGCTATATTTTGTACATAAAATATGTGCTATTGAATTTTATAATATGCCATGTATCGATTTTCTTCTATATCATAGCAATAAATATGGCAGCTCATCCTCATTGTGTGCGGTATTCAAACTTACAATTCTAGGTGCCTGTGCCTGGAAAAATTACAGGATGTAGGACTTTTTCCAGGTTTGAGAGAGTCATCTCATTATCAGGAACTCTCTCATCCCTAGAAAACCTCTGCAACAACTGTTCTGGCTAACAGAGATACTGCATCACTGTACATTATGGACACAAAGGCCTATGTATCAAGATCCAGGATAATAATCAAAGGTTGCCAGTAATGTGCAAAAGAAGTAAATCTGCTTATTTTTCCCTTATTTTTTAAAAATTTATTACAAATATGAGATTCTTGGATTTCCTGATCAGTAGTGCTTTCCCCAACCATGAGAGGGCACATCAGATTATCAGCAGGTTATTAACAGTGAACTCTTCAAATAACTCCATTATCACTTTCATTAGTTGTGTCAAGTCAAGTGCGTTGTGCTCGTGGCAGTAACAGGCTACAATCAACTGGAACACTTACCTGTTTATGTACATATGAATAGGTTTCTTGGTATTTTCAGACTGTAGAAAGAGTAGCTGCGCAATCACCAAACTTGCTATGTTATCATCTATCTGAAATAATAACACAGTACATATACAGTATATATATCAGAATAAACATGCATGTTTTCTTCATAAATCAAAGTGTGGGCTCAAAAAAAAATCAGTACTGTACTTCAAAATTTTATAGAGATGTTTCTTAAATCAGGGTCTAACCTTAATTACAACACTGTACAGTACAGAACTGTATGTATTGAACAAAATTAATTGACTCAGAACCCCAATGATACTGAATTACTGTAGCAAAGGTTCAGCATAACTGAAGAGTCCAGGAATACTACTACATTTTCATATTTGTTTACAAAAAATTATTTCTACCACAAAATATTATTTTTAAGGGAACGTGCTGCCAAATATGGAAACCTTACGATGATGTCATATTAAAAACAAAAAGTAAAACCAGTCAAAATAGCATTTAATTTTTTGTGCATACTGTCACTATTGTATTTAGTTATGAATTGCAAAATCTAATTATTCAGCCAAAGGATTAAATAAAACTATTGTGCAAAAAAGGCAAAAACAAGAAAATAGGAAATGGTAAGGCAGTCCCGTAACATTGAAAAACCACATTTCAAGTTCTATCATTCCTTCTACTACCTTAATAACCTCAGACAATTACCCAATGTTAAATACAAACCCTTGATTACTATTAAATATTATAAATGGTGAAAAGTGATAGACAAAAAGTGCAATCAAAAGAATACAGTACAGTGTACAGTACTGGGTGTAGATGGAAGCAACAAATATGGTGAAAGTTATTCAAAATATAATATTAAATTGACACAGTTAAGGTTTTGTTTTGTTTTTAAGCAGATTAGCCCACCCAGGCACAAGTCACTGACTCACAGTGGAGCTTTGGGGGGCAGGGGGGGATGATGATGTGATGATGATGAATAAATAAAACTTATAATAAAAATAACAATAATACTATAATTATTAAAGAACCATAAATAAATACAAAAATGAAAAAAAGAAAAAAGATCAGGAGTGAGAAACGATATACTGTATATATGTTGTGTTGTGAAAGTAAGACAAACAATTGAAACACTGTAATTGTCGGTAAATGTGGCAGAAAGTCAGATGAGCAACCTGGGATTTGGTCACAATTTTTGTGATGCCATATGGCAGCAGGGTCTACCATTAGACAACACATTATGCTTCAGCATTTTCCCAGGCAGTAGTACCTCTCTGTTTGATAGCTGCCTACAACTACTATCATCAAAAGTTAGATCATTTGACAGAATACCTTGAGGAAATACATGTACATTCCAGAGTTGTAAAGTAATGAAATAAATTTACTTGAGTACTCTATTCGACAATAATTTTTAGGTATCTCCCTCACCTTTCTGTTACACGTCAGTTGCCCTTTGCATATCCCTGTACCTAAAACGAATTTCAAAGAGGCTGTGATCCCCCCAAAAAATTTATGTAAAGCAATTTAGTATCTACTCATCAATTAGAATCGAAGCGTGTCGTTACCACAGTCACACCCCCAATTAGAGGAGCCATGCTACTGCATGATGCATGATACCTGTGCTGACAGTTCACAGGGAGTCTTAGTCACACTCAGTCACTATGGAGGCAACATTCATTCACAAACTCCTCAACTTACGAAGCTTGATAGCTACTTGGAATGCCCAGGGATGGAATGGAACTACTGAGGTCTTTCCTGACATTATGTGGCTTATCTCTGAAGCTTAACACCCCACTACCTGCATTTGCTGCTTGTGAGCATCTATTTAGTCATGCTGGGCTTATTATTTAATTAATTTATTACACCCCAGGGGGGACAAGCCTGGTCACAAGACCATACAGTCAGACAATAATACATTGGTACTCGTGTCTCGCCGGACACATTATGACTTGTGGTATGCAGGCAATATTGATAAAATTTTAAGAACAATGGGAGTTAACACCCAACCAAAGTGTGGGTAGCGTACAAGAATTAAATCTAAATTGTTACGAATAAGTAGGTAGTGACATAGTGACTCTCCCTGTGGTAGGAGGTCCCTGACAATGGGACAATCAAGGCAATAGTGTTGAAGGGTGTTAGTGATGGGACAGTTACAGAGTTTGCAGGAAGGGAAGTGCTAGTCATTCACCACCTCAGATAGGTCATCATCCTAACCTAATGCAAGCAGAGACAACATTATGTCTGCAGTCCACGTTGACATTACTTGTGTGGATAAGGACGAAACAGATCATAGTGTTGGAGGGACATATTTTCAGCCCATTCTCCATCCCTGCAATGGATTGTAGGGAGAAGAGCGGCTGAACATATTCTCTTTCGGTAGGTCAGGCTGGGCTTAAATTTAGGCCTAAAAGATCCTGATTGGACAGCCGTAATTTTGAGAATCAGTTATGCTATGTGTCTTGTATTTTTATCTTTAGTTAACAATTTTTTATAATTTACTGTGGATTAATTTTAATATTAGAGACAAATAATAATTTTGTTGTTACTTTTTACTTTCAGTACTTGAGTATTTTAAGAATGAAATACTTTTTTTACTTCTACTTGAGTACATTGACATTTGGATACTTTTACTTCTACCTGAGTAACATTTTGCAAATGTAACAATACTTTTATTTAAGTAACAAAATCCAGTACTCTGTACTAGTTTTACAACTCTGGTACATTCATAACAAGTGACACCAGGTCATTCATGTGAACTTGGTGAGCTAAAGTAGCCAAAGCTGATGACAGCTCCCACTACATCATTAAGGACAAAAGAAGCCCTTGGCCTCATCTATTGAATTATACAAAATGTAATCGTGAACTTACTGGCCCCATGATGCAAATAATCCGTTCCTTCAAAAGACGAGAGAAGATATCATAGGCACGTTCTCCTCTTCCTGTCTGTTCTATTACAATAGGAATCATGCCAATTGTCCTCTTTGTGATGTGTGAGTTAACAGGTGGATGGACAAGGCATCGTGAGGTCGGGTGGTAAAGACCACTACTAGACTGCAAAAAGAACAAATGGTCAAATACTGTACAGTATTCATATTCTAGTTCATTAAAAACAGAGAAAATGAATCCATCACATATTAACTTTAACAAAATTGTCGTTTTCTCTTACCTCAAAGATGTTCTCTTAATTTTCCTAGACCAGAACATTTTAACACTATAAGTTACAACATTTTCAGTGCAATAAAAGAGCTACCTGCACTTTATTGGATCATGACAATGACAAGACATACCTGTAATAAACTTTAATTTAGCTATACTGTACATTATAATCACTGTAAGTATCTACTATAATTACAATACCTGTATAATTTGAAATGAAACAAGAATATTGGAAAAACTGAAAACCAATATCAACTGTAATTGATGGGAGGAAAAAAAGACTAAAAATCAGGGCTTGATGTAAAATATTGTACCATTGTATGACCGAGACTAGAAATAGGGATTAATGTACAATATATGACCATCAAAATTTATTGGTTAAAAACCCAAGTAACCCGCCATATTAAACAGAAAATATTTATTTTGATATGTGGTACCAATGAAAGCAAGTGTGTTGAAGCATTATGATGTAATTTTACGTTTTTTCTTTTTGTTGTGAACATGAGAGTACGCGCGGATCAAATACTGTAGGTCGGTTGTAAATATGCAGTGCAGACAACAACACAAGTTGACCGGGCAGATTTTTCAAAGGCATATTTATGGTAAATAATTAATTTCTTCCATAATTTATGAGAGCACCGCTATGACCAGAAGGAGTTGTTCGATTACATACATTTTTTCCACAGATGTTCTTATCATTATACAGTAGTAGGTATTTTAAAAGAGCCAACAACTTTTTATTTTTATTAACTTTATTTTATTTTATTTTTACAGTTTTTCTCTATCTACGACCATAAATCACCTGTTGTGGGCAGGGCATGAAGGATGAGGGAAATTGTGGGGTAAAATTTGGTGAAAAACTGATCACATGACACAAAAATGAGGGAGCCACGAATTACCCAAAAGTATAGCAAATAAGGGTAAAATCTTAACGAATATCTGATATACATACACAAAAAATGTTTAATAATATTTTTAGTGTACTTTTGTAAAAATAATTTGTAAGATGAAATAATAAACAGCGAAAAACTTTCATTATTGGTGAACGCTAAATTCCAAAGAGTTCGTGAACGAGGGAGATAACTCAGATCCATCGTGATGCACTTCGCTAACCTAACCTAACCTAAAGAAAAGTAAATCCTACGGCTATGTTAAATACCCCAAAGTAACAGAAACATCGGCAATTATATCTCCATTTTGGATAGGTGACTCTTTGGAATTTAGCGTTTTTCGCTGTTTATTATTTCATTATTTTGACTACATTTCAATGAAAACATTATTAATTAGGTTTTATTGATGTAAAACATATATTCATTAAGATTTTACCCTGATTTAATATACTTTTGGGTACATTTTGGTACTTTTGGGTAATTCGTTGGACTGCAAAAATGATGTCTATACATGATTTGTAGGTGAAGAAATTATTTATTTACTGTAAATACTCCTCCGAAAATCAACCTAGCCACAGTGTCGTCTGTTTGAATTGAATTGAAACAGTTTATTTAGCCAGAAAAAAAACACAGATACAGAGTGGATAATAATAACAATATTAACATGGCTGAGCCAGTTGAGAACCGACCCGCTCTCAGGTCCGCAAAAAAAGTAAATTACACCAAGACGCTTCAACAAAGTTGCTTTCATTGGTACCACATATCAAAATAAGTACTTTCTGTTTAATATGGTGGGGATCTGCTTACCAGCTAGCAAATTAGGAAGGTTAAGTAGGTTTCTTTGGTAAGTTAGGTCAGGTTCTATTAGGTTCTAGTAAATGTCATTTCTTTTAAAACATTTCCTTTAATAAGAAATCTGGAAAAATTAATAAAATTGAACAACTCCTTCTGGTGTCAGTGGTGTTCTCATACAATACCACTTCTTCATGTACAAGGCACATAGAGACATCCTTTCAGTGTCCTATGAAAAGATTTTTACCGAACAAGTATTTTACCCTGCAATTTACCTCATCCTTCATGACCTGTCCACTACAGGTGATTTATGATCATAGATAGAGAAAAAAAAGACAAATACAGGGGTATTAAAATAAAAATTTGTTGCCTCTTAAAATACTGTATTGGTAATTTCTGGGAACAGTAATACAACCATAAATCACCTGTAGTGGACAGGTCATGAAGGATGAGGGAAATTGCAGAGTAAAATACTTGTTCGGTAAAAATCTTATCATAGGACACTAAAAGGATGTCTCAATGTGCCTATGAAAGTCATATTTGGTCTAAACGCACACAAATACACTAGAAAAATATATTTTTTACTTTCCAACAGAGTGAGGGTGCGCTTATGCAAATTTACCGCTGTCACCAGCACAACAATCACACTAAGTTAACGAGCTGCATGACCCAGTGTCAAGGAATAGTCCGAGAGGACCGGGAAACTCACCAACTGCACTGGCTAACCATTACCCCGGAACACGACCTGCAAATTGATTAACATCCAGGTTCCCAATTACTTTTTACTTTTACTCTCTTCGCCACTGATCGGCTTGTTAGCCGCTTGGGCGATCGGTCATGTCTCTGTTACACACTGTTGGCAAGTACTGGGCATGCACCGGCTCCTGAATGTACCTGAACCCGCTCCAAAGTTGGTCAAGTCTTGTCTTGAAAGAGCTCACACTCGGTGCCGTCACAACACTCTCTGGTAGATTGTTCCAAGAGTTTACAACCCTCACTCCGAAAAAGTTCGCCCTCACAGTTTTCTGGACTTGTGGCTTCTTCAACCTTGGGCTGTGACCCCTTGTGGGGCGAGCGTCCACCAGCTCCAAGTAAGGACACTCAACTGAGTAGTGCCCCCTGAGATGCTTATACACCTCACTAGGTCCCCCCTTGCCAGTACTCTGGGTAGACAAGAAGCAAATGGCATAAAGAAACTTGCCCATAGTTTCACCCTGCTCAGGGATAGAACCCGGGTCCACTCGCCTGCGAGGCGAGCATGCAGACCATTACAGCACAGGTCACCCTATGCAGCATACTACTGTATAGTCCCAAGCACTGGCCCAAGTTAGGTGTACGCCGGTAACTGGTCCCATGAGGTATTTAGAATTAACATAATGCAAAATTACTAGAATTCTGGGTGGATGATACTTGAAGTAGTGGGATCTCCTTCAACTTACAGATATTAAACGCTGGAGTGGCCGTAATAAAGACATTTTGTTTCGTTCTTGTGCTCACGTCCGTCTCCAATAACATAACAGCCAAAGTGTTCAGTCGCATTAAATGTTGGCTAAATAACTATTTCACCTCTTATGGTGAATTTTGTCTTAAAAACTATACTTTTTATAATTTTATTATATTTATAATATAAAAATTGAATATTAAAGTATCGGTATGAATGATTAATTAATCTAAATGCAGAATTATTTTTAGAGTGAGGGGAAAAGTCCAAGTCACAAGCCACACTCGGACACCGTAAACATCAGTGTAGCCAGTCCCTAGGGTTTGGCATTAACCTTGGGAGCTAAAAATCTTTTCTTCAAAATCTAATTATTCTTGGGATTTGTTCAGTCCCACCTTCATATTTTACGATCACTATACTGTATATATTTCATGATTTATTATATTATGCACTTAGCTTTTTGCCGTTCGGTCTGTTCAGGCAAATAAATTATTGGGTCTTATAAGAAGGTCGTTCAGATATCTAGACGGTCCGTCCCTCGTAACGATCTTCAGGAGTGAAGTGCTTCCCCATCTGGAGTACTGTCACCCCATCTGGTCCCCGAGATATGCTAGGGACTGTCAGTTGGTTGAAAATGTTCAAAGGAGCGCCTGAACTTGCCTAGCTTATACTACAGACGGGCAAGGGGGGACCTAGTGAGGTGTATAAGCATCTCAGGGGGCACTACTCAGTTGAGTGTCCCTACTTGGAGCTGGCGGACGCTCGCCCCACAAGGGGTCACAGCTCAAGATTGAAGAAGCCGCAAGTCCAGAAAACTGTGAGGGCAAACTTTTTCGGAGTGAGGGTTGTAAACTCTTGGAACATTCTACCAGAGAGTGTTGTGACGACACCGAGTGTGAGCTCTTTCAAGACAAGACTTGACTAACACTGGAGCGGGTTCAGGTACATTCAGGAGCCGGTGCATGCCCAGTATTTGCCACCCTCACCCCTGTAAATCAAACCAAGTGTGTGTGTAATGATGATGAATTGCCTTATAATAACTGGGGATCATTCAACAGCATCAATCATCATCATTATTCATCATCACCATCATTATCATCATCATTCATTATTTATCATCATTTATCATCATCGTCGTTATCACATATACGCCATCATTATCGTCATCATTCATCATCAGCATCATCGTCATCACATATACGCCATCATTATCGTCATCATTTATCACCATCGTCGTCATCACATATACGCCATCATTATCGTCATTATTCATTATTTATCATCATCGTCGTTATCACATATACGCCATCATTATCGTCATCATTCATCATCATCATCATCACACACACCACACATTACCACCCCTCAGCCCTCTCCCCCGCCCGCCTTGACTACCAGCAGTGTCAGTTGGTACAAATTAGTGGTTATTTCGGTTCGTTTACGCCATTTTGTAGATTTTCTCATAAAAATAAATATATCGTAATGTACCAAATAAAAATCTTTGTTTGGCATATGCAATAAATTCTGATTATCTACATAACATTACGTGTAATTTATTCAGAATGTATTCATCATGCAGAACCTCTACCTATGGGAATATGTCAACCTGTCGTTTGTATCATGAGTTCTGAGTGGCTGGTCACCACAAACGAAGCGCTGAATCAGGAGTCGAGCTTGGAGCCACATTTCTCTGAACCATCTGTGATTTTTGTTGATCAGCTGAATAAAAAACGTTTCCCATTATTTCCTGCAGAAGCAACTCAGTTCTTCTGTTAGTGAGCATTTACATGTAATATACGGTCCTTATCATTACAAGAGCGTCGGTTAGATAGAAGTTTCGATCGGGTGGTTCAGTGTCTGGGAGTCGAGCTCTCAGTTGTCACTTTGGATGGTATCAGTATGTTCGCAATGGAGATGGTTCAGTGTGTGGCGGAGATGTGGATGAACTTTAGACCAGGGACAGCCAGACGTGGAGGGAGGGAGGCGGCCAGTAGTGAGACGGTCGAGGCGATTAGTGGATGTGTGACGGAAGTTAACGTTAACAAAATGCTCCTAAATTAATACATCCAGTTGTCAAGGATTATAAAATACAGACGCCATCATGTGTGTGTTGGTGTTGAAAAATATAAGGTAAGTCGCTGTGTATATTTCCAATACAACTTATTTCTCTCTCCAAACTACGTCAATTCGATAGCCCATTAATTGTATAGAAATGTTGATGACTGGGACTTAATTATACTGAATAATCTTGACAGCTTCTCTGGGGTAGAAATCCATTTCAACGTGATTTGGTTGTAGGAGTTTAAGGTAAGGTACCAGAACAAGGCGACCACCCACGCTGATTAATCCTACCTTCTCCCCTAGACCATTATCCGGTTTATCATTTATACGGAGTCCTTTAACACGGCTTTAGAGGATTATGAACATTAGATTAACAGATCCAGCCACGAGGTCAGGTCAGGTTAGGTCAGATCCAGCCACAATCAATATTGCTGTGTTTTTGAGCTTTTCCTTCGAGTTGAAATTGCCACTTTTGTATATCACTTGTGGGTTAATCGTCAATCTTTGCACTGTACTGTTGGTGTGAGGTTGTTGTTGTGTGTGTGTGTGTGCCGTGGGTAATGTGTTAGGTGTGTTGGGGTGTGTGTGCCGTGGGTAATGTGTAAGGTGTGTTGGGGTGTGTGTGTGGCGTGCGTAATGTGTAAGGTGTGTGCCGTGGGTAATGTGTAAGGTGTGTTGGGGTGTGTGTGCCGTGGGTAAAGTGTAAGGTGTGTTGGGGTGTGTGTGCCGTGGGTAAAGTGTAAGGTGTGTTGGGGTGTGTGTGTGTGTGCCGTGGGAAATGTGTAAGGTGTGTTAGGGTGTGTGTGGCGTGGGTAATGTGTGAGTTGTGTTGGGGTGCGTGTGTGTGCCGTGGGTAATGTGTAAGGTGTGTTGGGGTGTATGTGGCGTGGATAATGTGTAAGGTGTGTTGGGTTATGTGTGGCGTGGGTAATGTGTAAGGTGTGTTGGGGTGTGTGGCGTGGGTAATGTGTAAGGTGTGTTGGGTGTGTGTGTGTGTGTGTGGGTGTGTGTGTTGGGTGTGTGTGTGTGTCGTGGGTGATGTGTAAGGTGTGTGGGGTGTGTGGCGTGGGGTAATGTGTGGGTGTGTTGGGGTGTGTGTGTGTGGCGTGGGTAATGTGTAAGGTGTGTTGGGGTGTGTGTGTGTGGCGTGGATAAGTTAAGGTGTGTTGGGGTGTGTGTGTGTGTGTCGTGGGTAATGTGTGGGTGTGTTAGGGTGTGTGGCGTGGGTAATGTGTAAGGTGTTTTGGGGTGTGTGTGTGGCTTGATTAAGTGTAGGTGTGTTGGGGTGTGTGTGTGTGTCATTGGGTAATGTGTGGGTGTGTTGGGGTGTGTGTGTGTGGCGTGGGTAATGTAGGGTGTGTTGGGGTGTGTGTGTGGCGTGGGTGTGTGTGAGTGTGTTGGGGTGTGTGTGTGTGGTGTGTGGGGTGTGTTGGGGTGTGTGTGTGCCGTGGGTGTGTGTGTGGGTGTGTGTTGGGGGTGTGTGTGTGTGTCTGTGATGAATGTGTAAGGTGTGTTGGGGTGTGTTTGTGTGTGTGTGTGCCGTGGGTAATGTAAGGTGTGTTGGGGTGTGTGTGTGGCGTGGGTAATGTGGGTGTGTTGGGGTGTGTGTGTGTGGCTGGGTAATGTGTGGGTGTGTTGGGGGTGTGTTGGGGTGTGTCGTGGTGTGATGTTAATGTTTGGGGGTTGTGTGTGTGCGTGGGTAATGTGTGGTGTGTTGGGGTGTGTGTGTGGCGTGGGTATTAATGGGTGTGTTGGGGTGTGTGTGTGTCGTGGTTAATGTGTGAGTGTGTGGGATGTGTGGCGTTAAAGTGTAGGTTTGTTGGGGTGTGTGTGTGTGTCGTGGGTAATGTGTAAGGTGTGTTGGGGTGTGTTGGGGTGTGTGTGTGCCGTGGGTAATGTGTAAGGTGTGTTGGGGTGTGTGTGTGTGTGGGTAATGTGTAAGGTGTGTTGGGGTGTGTGTGTGTGTGTGTGGTGTGTGTAGGTGTGTCAGGATGTCTGCGTGGGTAATGTGTAAGGTGTGTGGGGGTGTGTGTGGCGTGGGTAAAGTGTAAGGTGTGTTGGGGTGTGTGTGTGTGTCGTGGGTGATGTGTAAGGGTGTGTTGGGGTGTGTACGTGTCGTGGGTAATGTGTAAGGTGTGTTGGGGTGTGTGTGCCGTGGGTAATGTGTGTAGGTGTGTTGGGGTGTGTGTGTGTGGCGTGGGTAATGTGTGAGGTGTGTTGGGGGTGTGTGTGTGGCGTGGGTAAAGTGTAAGGTGTGTTGGGGTGTGTGTGTGTGTGGCGTGGGTAATGTAAGGTGTGTTGGTGTGTATCGTGGGTAATGTGTGAGGGTGTGGTGTGTGTGTGCCGTGGGTATGTGTGGGTGTGTTGGGGTGTGTGTGTGCCGTGGTAATGTGTGGGTGTGTTGGTGTGTGTGTGTGTGTGTGATAGTGTGTGTGTGTGTGCCGTGGGTGTGTGTGGGAGTGTTCAGGGGTGTGTGTGTGTGGCGTGCGTAAAGTGTAAGGTGTGTGTGTCGTGGAGTGTGTGGTGTGTCGGGGTGTGTGTGTGTGTGTCGTGGGTAATGTGTTGGGTGTGTTTGGGGTGTGTGTGTGTGTGTGTCGTGGTGTGTGTAGGTGTGTTGGGGTGTGTGTGGGGCGTGTGTAGGTGTGTTGGGGTGTGTGTGTGTGGCGTGGGTAATGTGTTGGGTGTTGGGGTGTGTGTGTGGCGTGGGTGTGTGTAGGTGTGTTGGGTGTGTGTGTGTGGCGTGGGTAATGTGTGGGTGTGTTGGGGTGTGTGTGTGTGGCGTGGGTAATGTGTTGGTGTGTTGGGGTGTGTGTGCCATGGGTATGTGTAGGTGTGTTGGGTGTGTGTGTGTGCCATGGGTATGTGTGGGGTGTTGGGGTGTGTGTGTGTGTCAGGGTGTGTGTGGGTGTGTTGGGGTGTGTGTGCCGTGGAGTGTGTAGGTGTGTTGGGGTGTGTGTGTCTGTGACGTGGGTAATGTGTAAGGTGTGTTGGAGTGTGTGTGTCGTGGGTAATGTGTAAGGTGTGTTGGGAGTGTGTGCCGTGGGTGTAATGTGGAGTGTGTTGGGGT